TCTTTGAGGCCTGAAGCCGCTATAGAGATTTATGTTCCTGTGGGGTCAGGCCCCCAGCATTTTATGGTGATAAAATCCTGGGCCTGACCCTACCATGTATGTCCAACCCCTATCTTCTTCAGGCTGGCAACAGATGAACGGATCATTTTCGCTGCAGCTTTGACTACATACCCCCAAGCACACATAGGTCTGCGTTGAAAACAGGGGCACCTTAAGTTGCAGTATGTTTCAGTATCTTGCGCATAATTTGTTCACATTGCCAGTCCACTCTCCCAAAACCGATTGCGGGCACCGTCACAGGTGTCCCTCTGACGTCCTTCGACCAGTCATTGAGGATGCAGGACTATGGGTGGATGCACCAGATCCACAGCTTTGCTAAGACATGATTGGACTTGTAGAGCATACTCCTCGTACTCCCTCATCAACCTCCTGGAGTTCCAGAGTGCATGCCATGCTGCGAGAGCAGGAGACACGCTGGCGCAACCTGCGGCCAGCGCGCCGCGCAGTGGCAGTCGAGGCTTCTGTTCTGGGGCAGGGGAAAGCCATCTTGCTGTTCCGAGATTGCCCCAAACCTTAGGCATCTTTTGGGGGTTCCTACTTGCATTATCAACTCCAGGTACCTGGGAGCATCCGGAGTTTGCTTTGTGAGCCATGTCCAAGTGACCGATCGGGATCCTGATGCAGGGGGTCATGAAGCTGAAAGAAGGGCCGCGCGCTTGAAGTCATACCTCTTGGCAGTACAGGACGTGCTGTCTGCCAAGGTGTCAACCGAGGCTTCCATCTGATTTTCGACGCGGAGGGTCAGGGCTGCAAACTGGCAACCCACTCGCTTCGAAGGTGGCCCGCCGGCTGTGCAGTCCGCTGGCCGTTGCACGCAACGCCGGTTTCACAAAGTTGCATCCAGTATTGCATGCACCTAGGCATTCAGAGCCAGAGTGGCTCAATGAGGCTACACTGAGCTCTGCCAAAGCGTGTCTAGACATCTCCCATGGCATGCCTAAGCATGCCGCGGCGGTGTCCTGATGTGTGCGGGCGAGGTATTGAAATCGTTCCTGCTGCGCGCTGCATGTTTAGCAGACACTGGAGGTAACTGTTCGTCTGCCAACATAGGGTCTCTACAGCACAACTAGCTACAACTCTTCGATCAGGTACGGTCAATTGTAAGAGCTCCAGGAAAGGAGCATACCTCTGGTACATGGGTCGCAGAAGTGGAGCCGGCGCAGTCCATCAGTTAGCCAAGCCAATCAGATAGCTGGTCCCTTCATTTGCTTGCCCTGCACAGGGGGCCGCGCCCTCAGTTTGAGACTCCCTTTCAACAATGTTTCTTTGTTTCAGCTACATATGTCTTTAGTTGTTTGGGATCATACAGGCAAAGTGTAAGCGTTATGTGAGCTCGCAAGAATGAAGCCATATCCTTGCAGACCATCCATGAGCACATCCTTTCTCAATCTCTAGGTTCCCTTGCGCCTCCTAAGTTTGAGAAATTGCCTCTTGGCTTCCCTGCATCAGGTGCGACGTCAGGTAGTCTCGCCAGGCCGCTCCAACTGCTGGATGGCAATCCTTAGGAGCAAGACTAGTATCAGTAGAAGCAGAGCAATTTAGAAGTAGCAGAAAGGAGAATAGTACAGGCATAGTCGCAGCGGAAGCAGGAGGATAACAATATCAGTACTCGTGGCACTATGACAGAAGTTAACGTGGAGTGTCGAGGAAATGACGGTCATGTGCTGGTCATCTGCAACTCAGTGCTACCGTGGGACCTGCTTTAATCTCCCGGGGGCGCTGGCACTAGGGGTGCCAGAAAATCAGAACACAGGTCCTTCTCTAAGCCTCCCGCGGTTCTGAGGGCTCTGGATTCTGGATTGATTTACAGGGGATGGTTTGGATTCTGCAAGTACCAAAAGCGGGCCTCCATCATTTTCCAGAACATTACTTGGCAATGCTGGCCTTGTTGGTCGCAGCGACCACTAACCCTGAGAATTTTCCTGACCAGGCCTAAAGCCTTTGCTACCCTGAACACCAATCACCAATGTGAGTGTTTCTCAAACTTAGGGCTTTCCTGTAGACATCCGATATAGAGTCCTGATTGTGGGGATCTCCAGGAAGGAGCCCCGGGTTGATGATAGTTCCTCTGACTGCAGGGGCGGGCGCTGGTGCATCCCACCATGGTCCCCGCCTTGGTTCAGGGTTGTATGGAGGGGAGGGGATAAGAAGCCGCCGGCTGCCGTTACCGAGTACCGGCTATGATAAGGTATGTTGGATGTCTGAACTTGTTGCTGGCCTGTCGAACATTTTACTGCGTAGTTTCATTCGGAAAAACCTGGGACATCCAGGGGTCAAGGTGGTATGCCACCTTGGGTCAAGGCACCGTGACAGGATACATGGCTGCTCATTAACATTGATCGTAGCAAGCCCAGGATCCTGGTAAGCCTGGAGTCGTGGTGAAGAACACCTTCTTGGAGGCGTGGCTCATGGTGACACAACATCTTCAGCTGGTGCGAATGTCTAGAGAAGCTGCCTGTTGGGATCCCAAATTCTCACGAGAGTCCAGTGCGGTCGTTCGTGGTTGAAGTCTGGAGAGGATTCTTGCTAAGAGCTATCGATGCAGTTGCAAAGCAGATCACTCCAGCAGCAAGAAAAAGGACACCGCCACTTTTTTCAGGTTGGAGATCATATGCCTGCCTTGTCGGAATGGCCCGAAGCCCGTGACACACTCAGAGTCAATACTGATCCATTCAACAACTGGGGCCCAGGCGTCGGCAAATGTCAGAGCCTGCAGAGCCCTCAGTCACAGTCTGATCGTACCAGACTTGCCAGCATTTGTCAACAAGGTCAAGATCTATACCAGCCCGAATGACGAGGTTTCAGCTTGGGCAGCCTTTGCACTATGCCACTTGTTACCCATCTTGCCGGCAGGAGGTTGAGGAAGACGACGCTGAGGTGCCGACAGTTGTCAATCAACCTTTGGGCAGGGTTTGCAGTGCATGTCAATCAGCGCTTGAACATCCTTCCTGCCGACATAAGTTGAAGCAAGCACTGCTTGGCGCTGCTTTGCTTGGAGTGAGACATGGTTCCCCTCTATTGCCTTGTCAAGCTGTAGCGTGAGGTGCCCGAAGAGATGCCACCGCTACCTTTCGCCATGACGCCGCCCTCGACATCATCCACGCATCCCGGGCATCCAGGGCATCCTGTGTCCACACCTCTGCTAAGTATGCTAAGCTATGCTAAGATGCTAAGTGAAGCCTACAGACGCCTGCATCTTACACTGTGAACCGAGGCCAGGCCAAATGCCGACGATGATGCCAGGGGCTATGCCCCCTGGAGCTCTGGGTGCCGCACCCTGCTTCGAGGCCTGTAACAGAGGAGCTGTTTAGCTGTTCAGAGTGCTAGTCAAATCTTGCTGCTTCAGGCAGCCCCCCAGCCCATGATGCCACGACAGGCAGTTTATAAGATGGTTCGCAGAGTTTCAACTCGCACCGGACATGTCCTGCTTCCATCCAAAGCATGCTTTCAGGGCGTTCGAGAGCAGGGCAGAAGGGATATTCGAAATGGTCAAGTCCGAGGCTCAGCGCGTGCTTGGCAGAGCTTTGTCAAGTTACAGCCCAGACTCCTGGTCGTCGTTCAATAAGGCCATAAATCAGTTGAAAAACAACGACATCACCAGCAAGGCAATATTGGTTGAGAATCTTAGAGTTTGAGGTTTGCGCTTGAAGTGTCATTCCACCCTGGAGCCACTCAAGATTACTGAAGTTCTGGACAGGAGCCTCCTTGGAATGATGTCACCACTGTGATGATGCGAAACTTGCCCAACAAGCTGGGCCCTCACTTGGCCTATCTTCCAAAGACTTCAGACTTGCGCAGCCTGGAGATCTGTCAGAATCCTGGAACTGTAAGCAAGGTACAGACAGCAGATGCTCCTAGATGAGCTTGCTGATGCTGGTTTCCGTGCACAGGCATGGACCCACGCCTGCGCTAAAGCATGCACCTGCTGCTGCTTCTGCTCGTGCTGAGACCGATTTCGATTTCTTTTATCTTCCGATGGACCACAGACGCTTGGCTTTGAAAAACGCTTTGGGTGTTGCCAAACCCTGCTCGTTGTAAGTTGTTGCAATTTGTTGCACCTCTGAGGTAATGCTGCAAATCTGGGCTATTGTGCCGAGCCTACACTGCTTACACTTCGCTCATCTCCAGTTAGGCATTTTAGGCTGATGAACCTTCAGCCATCAGGTTTCATTAACTTCACGGAACCTGCTCTGGCAAATGCATTTGCGGCAGCGTTCCAGGGTTCGCAACCTAGCATGTGGATTGTTACGCACTTGTGTGTGTTGATGCCACTGCCATACAGCCGCAGACTCGGCTCAGGCAAAAAGATGCGACGATTCAACTCGCACAAGACCGTGGTTGCACCTGCCTTGGATAGGGAGTCAAGCAGCTGGACAGGACTCATATTTACAGTGGTGACGCCACTCTTCCCATAGTTGGCAATGCAAATGACAGTAAAGCTAAGCAAGGATCGTCGCAATGATGGCCAGCTTCAATACAGTTTCGTGGAAACATCGCTGATCAGGTGATGCCTGCGTCGATTCAGGGATATGAACGAAACTACAAGTGCCGTCGGCAGTCTCTTGCTTCTCTGTGCAATCTTCTTGGGTTGTTCACAAACCGGGGCAACTCATATTTTCGCGTAGGCAAGTGGATCTTTTGGCTTTTGTTGCTTTCACTGTTGCCAGCTTAAATGCACATGGAGGCTGGGTCAGGGCCACAACCAACACACGGCTTCTTGCCATCCTGACACGATGCTGCCGCGCCGCTGCTGCTGCTGCTGCTGCTGCTGTTGTTGCTCTAGGGATCAACAGTAGGTGTAGGCAGAAGAGAAATGCACAGTTTAGATTTTGAGCAATGGGTAGGCGTGCTGATGGTGATGCTCGTGGAGGTGATTACGCCCCTTCCCGAACATATGCCACGTCTATGCGTTTCCAGGCAACCCATCTTGTTTCTCACAACATTGTTGTTCCCCACCCTCGCTGTGGGGTTGTTAGATTTTAAAGGAGATGTTGTCCTCGCCCGACTGGAAGCTGACTTTCGTGACCAACCACGAAGTATCCCTGCAGTGCCCAACCACCAAGTATCCGTGCCCAACCGCAGAGTATCCCTGCAGTGCCCAACCGCAGTATATCCTTACATTGCCCAACCACTAAGTATCCCTGCAGTGCCCAACCACCAAGTATCCCTGCAGTGCCCAACCGCAGAGCATGTCTGCAGTGCCCAATCGCAGAGTATCCTTACACTGCCCAACTGCAAGGTATCCCTGCAGTGCTCAACCACCAAGTATCCCTGCAGTGCCCAACCACCAAGTATCCCTGCAGTGCCCAACCACCAAACATCCCTGCAGTGCCCAACCGCAGAGTATGTCTGCAGTGCCCAACCGCAGAGTATCAAT